TTGTGGACTTTTTGTTGCTTAGTTTTTTTTATGTGTAACAGACAACGACTTCTTTATATACGAATTGTCTCTCAGTTCAGTACACCAGTAAGAATCGAGCTTACCAATGACTACTTCATTTGCATCCATATGTATCTGTCGCTGATGAAAGGCCATGAAATCCGCAGCAATATATATTACAACAACAACAAAATAGATGTGTATGTATAACCTCCTTTACAACATTTTGAATTGTATTATTATAAACAATTAAGTAATGTAAAGGATATTATTGACGAGAACAAATTACATTGTCTATTAAATTATTGTATTACAAAGTTGATATGTATGAGTTCTGTTCTAACACACATTTTTCCTCACATAATATCCCTACTAGATAAAGTACAGCCGAATTCTTGTACTTGGCTATACGAGCGTATAGTCAGATGTAGTTTCTTCTTATCCTCCCTGAGGGGATACAAGTACAGAGCTGTGAATGAAATGGATGCTCAGTATCAGCTACCTGTTGTGAAAACCAAATGACCCATAGCCAGCCAAAAGAAGACAAGACAAATATAATCTATAAACCAAACATCGTTCATAGCGTTATATTGGCCAGTCCAGCTGTCGGAGTGTTCAGAGAATTCATCAACACTGACTACCAGTAAAGTAACATGACATGGCCTACTTGGTTTCAATGCATACAGACAATCATGATCACAAATTCAACTAGGAGAATATAGAAATCCTGAAATGTGCAGATTCACAAGCTGTAAGAGAATTTCTAGAAGTGTAACATTCAAACGAAATGTCAATCAACTGACATGTAGATATAGACCCAATTTACAATCTACTTAGGAAGGGAACAGTCAATCATCCATCAACCAACGGCCAGCTGAATAAATAAATCAATAATGATGCACAATGTGACAATGACAAACAGCACAATTTCACTCCAATTGTTGCATTACTGAAAGTGTGGTAGGTAAGTAGCGCTAGATGAAATACGAAATATCAGAAAACTTCTATGCAAATACTTTAGTTACTTGTCAGTAGTTTAGGATGTTATCAAAAAACTGTATGACGCAAAATAAGTTCTATTTTATTTTAGAGTATAAATATTTCAAGATGTAAATAAATTGTAGGATAATTCCTGAAGAAAAATAGGCAAAATGTCTACATTTTGTAAGGGAGGAAATTGTAGTATGAATGGAATGAATGCTGGATGATAACAGATAAAAAACCCTGATGTTCAGCCTTTGTACTCACCACAATACTTGGTGGGGTTGGCAAAGGTATCAAAACGTGTTTTCCTTGTAGAACTGAGTTTATAAAATAATATACCCAGACCAACTCAGTTGCTGAGTTCACATTAATGTAAGCACCTACAACTTAGGTACTGTGTTGGAACTAATTTAATTCCACATGAGATTGGTCATCTTACGCATACCACATGATGATAAAGTTTTATTTATTGGATGATATTCCGAGCATAATTTACTCCTTATAACTATATCAGAGTAATCAGACAACTTTCAAACTCCATTATTATAACCCAGTAACTATTTATTCTTTCATTTTAAGGTTAGTAAAATCTCCTAAATATCTCCTGCTACAAGTGTTCGCTGTCGATTCATTGAACAAAGATTCTGTAATCAATCAATCCCTCCACCTACATACATTGGGTTTTAGAACTGTCACCCTATACTACACATTAGTATAATTATGGCGCATAACCAGCAGAAATATGATTGAGTTTGTCTCTACACCAAGCATCTTAATGCCATCAATCATTCTGCATCTTTTAGCCTACAAAGTTTCTCTCGGAGTGAGTTTGTAGATGTAAATACCATCATAATCCTAGAGTTGTTAAAAAACCTATTAAAAATCTTCAATGTGACTTCTTTATATGGTGACACCATAGAGGATTTGAATTCTCTCTTAGGCATGTTGCGAGTGTCAATAATATTATCGACTGGCTTCTTACAAGTCCTTATAGACTTGGATGCGCATTTGTAGCGTAGTTACTATGATCCAACGCCTGTTCATTGTCCTTCAGTTAGTTCAATTTGCAGGTTTATAAGCAGTTTTCAATTAATTTCAAGATAGTATTCATCATAATATATGCATAGTAGCAAACAGTAGGAGTAACGATAGGATCACAAATATCACTCCACCCCTATCATAGCAGACATTCTTATGGACAGTTGGGAACACAATTAGCATTGGGAGCATTCCAACCCACTACAAAAGTATAGTGGTGACATGTGCAGATCCCACGTTTACTGTGCTGAAATCAGAACATATCCAAATTTTTCTTGCATAAATAAACTCGATAGTAGACGCAATCCAATTCGCTTATGAATAAAAAAATTGAAGAAGGAGAGTTATCTATGTTGGATTGGAAAACCAAGAGAAATGTAGGTGATGATAAGTTAGATATCATTACTCACTGGAAACCAACACACTCGATAAGGTACTTGGATTTTACACTATCTCATTCTATCTACCAGGAATTTTCGTCAAATATTCAAGCGCTCGGCTATAAGAGAACCCCTTCAATATCTAGTAACCATGCAATTTCTAGTAGCTATATAAAGGGTCGGATTGTTTAACCTCTGTTGACAGATGGACTCTTCTGTGGATGCCTCGATACTGTCGGATATTCATGATGTTACATTGATCTTGATGACCAGCAGAGGAATCCAAGATGAGCGTTTTGTCCTACTTGGGACTCACTCGTCAGTTGGATGTACCTGCACCCCAGGGTCCGAAGGAAATTACAAGCACTGCACAAGAAATGGCTAGCTTATCCCGATGGCTTAGTGGATAACGCATTGGCATTTGAAGTGATGGGTGGGAATAACATCATTCACCGGGGTGCAGGCACATCCAGGTGACGAGTCCACAGTAGGACGAAACATGCATCCTAGATTCCTCTGCTAGTCACCAAGATGAATCCAATAATCAGCTTTTTGAAATAAAACACAAGTCTAATAGAGGTAAGCACACTAGTAAGGCCTAATAAATGACACTACACACATAAACAACTATTATATGTCCACTTTATTCATCGTTTGTCTTGCCTTGAACCTTCATCGAGTGAGATGACTGGCTGCGACATGTTATGTAGGCCTAACCACCGTCCGCCTCGTCACATAATGTTGACCAAAGTAGCTTCAGGCTGGAGAAAGGCTCAGGGCGGTCAAACTCAAACATCTCACCACTCCCTAAAGTCCTTGACTGTTCATTTGAACGATGTAAGACGATCCAGATTAGCCGGTTGGGGTCCACGGGATAAAAGAAACTAGTGGTTGGAGACTCTAGGTGATGTGGCAGAGAATCGACGTCAGTGGTGCAGAAGTATACGCACATTATCTTCATCCTAACCGCTATACTTAATCTCGTCATCTCTCCTTACTGTTACTACTTCCTACTTCTACTTACTTTGATCGATTTTTCTTTCCATCTTCATTTTCACTTTTATTGCCTTGTTGCTTAATATGGTGATATGAGGTGTGTATTGATTGGTCATGTGAGTGCAACCAATTTCATGTTGTCTAGCCCTGAGTGCAGACCGAATTCTATCATATTTACAATGTGGCAACCAAGCTAGGAAGCTCAGCATCGCGGTGCACATTAGTAGATATTAGTTGGTTGGAGGCAATCGGCAGGAAGCCCTGGACCTAGGTTCCTTTCTTTTAGGCACTCGTCAACAAGGCATATCTGCAACCTCGACGGAACTGATGTCCCATCTGAGGTTCGAACCCGCGCCACCCAGTATTGTAGTCAGCGGCTTTGCCAACTAACATCTACTGATGTGCACCGCGATGCTCAGCTTCCTAGCTTGGTTGCCACATTGTAAATATGATAGATAGAATTCGGTCTGCACTGAGGACTAGACAACATGGAATTGGTTGCACTCCCATGACTAGTCAATACATGTAAGCCAGTCCTACAGGAGGTCAGTTGCGGCCCGAGTAGTGGTAAAGTCGCTGACTATAACACTAGGTGACGTGGGATCGAATCTCAGGCGGGACATCAGTTCCGTCGAGGTTTCAGACACGCCTTGCCGACGAGTGCTAGAAAGCACGAAACCTAGGTTCACGGCTTCCTGCCGACTGCCTCCAACCAACTAACATCTACTGACATGAGGTGTGGTGACTCAGACCGTTACGCAGTAATGCCTGGTCCTATGTTGATCTTGATGATGATGCTTTTATTAAAATCCATCGGCGTTGATATTGCTACATCTCTTTAACAGGAAAGTAGCGAAATATTTGAGTTCTTCGGAGTACTTTGAAGTGAACATAGAAGAAGGAACTTTCTACATCAGATAGACAAAATCAACGTAAAATCTCGCACATGAGTGCATCGGTTCAAGTAGCACACAGAAAACAAGTGGATATAAAAAGGGGTATCAAAGTAAACAACGTTGTGTGAGGGAATAAACAATCTCATGATAACAGTCAGAGCAAATACTCAAGCTTTAGAAGACATCAAACAGTGAATATACCTGTGCCACTGTGACCGGTTTTCACCCATGTTAGCAAGAGCCCTCAACCACCGATTCCTGTCATCTCGTCCAGTCAGGCGATCCACATCTTCCCACACAGTTCCGATCAACAATCAGAAACTTTGTCGACTGGTGCTATGTCTTAATCTGGTTTCCGTGAACCCTATTTCAGCATAATCCAACTTCTTATAACATGGCACGTCGGATACCTGGTGACTGGGTATATTCAACACATGTTCAAGTCATCTCAGACGACTAAGGTTCACAACCTCATTAATCAACTTACCTGTCTTGTCTATTATCCTTCGCCTAAACTCGACACTGCTTACACAGCAATTCTGCTAAACACTACGAAGATATCTATGATCAAACACTTGAAACCGCTTCATTATCTTCTACTTTCAACGACCATGTCTTAGTCGTGTAGTGCAGTCAACTTGTCCTTTGATAGATAGTCGGATATCTCGCCAGTAGGCGACACACGCACACACTTTCAACATTTATCTTTATATACGTATGTTTTTATTTTATTTTATCTACCCAATAATTTGTACAGTGAAACCATACACATAAAAATAAAGATAACAAAACAGGAACAAAGAAAAAAAAAGAAATAAAAAGAAACCACACCTAAAGGGGAGATAACAATGCATATCAATGAGATGTTATAGATTGAAATGATATAGATAGATGTAGATATATTAGTCTGTCGATATACCTAGGCTGATACGTACACTTCGAAGTGCTAAACTATTGAAACGTGCTTTATCTTCACGCCATGTTTTAGCTGCATCCACATTAGCTGCACTCTCATCATTCGGTTCTATAGAAAGAAAGAGAAAAGATGAATCAAAAAAAAAGTGTTAAAACGATTTTTTAAAAATTACTGAGTAATCAATACAACAACTAGAGAGCCTAGACGATACGGCTTAGAATCGATTTACTATTGGAAGTATGCAGACGGTCGATGCTTCCCAGCTGCCTACACATCATGGAAGTCTAATTCCTTTTGAGATACCTGAAAAAGAAGAAGATATCCATGATGACAAACACTAAGTGATATCTGCTTGAGGCTGGTCACACCAAAGCCTTTTTGCAAGTTTGATATTTCGGCTTTTTGCTTCTGAATCCGACTATGAATCCCTATCCCAGGCATCGGCATGCTGCAGAGGAGTGGAAGTATGCTATTTTCGATCCCACCTTCGTATAAGGAAGACAGCATAAGCATGGCACTGCTGATCATTCAAGGGAAATATCCTATTGATACCACACTCCCGTCTAGTCAGCAGTACGACTTTGCTCTCAAATCCCCATCATAGTGTAGCACGGATGTAAGGAGACATTATTCTTACCTCAATCATCATACCGAATTTCGTTATTAGTATTGTTTCATTCCTTCTTGTTGCCTTTCCCCAAACTCTCTACCATCTTTGTTACTTTCTGCTACATTTTTCTTAATCTTTCATCTGTATGCTTTCCACCAGGATGTGTTGATATGCGGTGCGGCAACTTAGAATCATTGAACCAATATGGTGAAAGAATGCATAGCTTAAGATGCTTACTTGTTTGGAACTGTGGATTACTGGTTTAAGAAGATGACTTTCAACTATTGGGTCACGGGTCTAACCTTCGCTCCATCTACTAAGGTTCCGACAGCCAGGGAGTACCCGACAAATGTATGCAAGGCTGCTGAACGTATTTCATTCATTCATAGTAAATCAGATCATGAGTAGGTAGTTTTTTTGAAATTCGTGGAGACTAGTTGATTTTAAAGCGGAAAATATCTCTGCACACAGGATAGTACTAAACCACTATGTGCACTGTGCTTGAAACTTGACAGTACTACACACTTCCGGTTTACTTTTGGAATTGCGAATAAAACTTTTTGACGTCAAAACAGGCACACACTGAGATCGACTTAGATGACAAGTGTAAAACTTTCGATTCTATCCACTAAAACATTTACAACTATGTACTCATTAAAATAGAACAAAGCGTAGAACACTTTGCGAAACAGATTAAATGGTCTTAGGTTATTCTTAGATTTTAAGCCTTGTCATCCTGGAGAGATTAAATATGCTCTTCATTCAAAATTACAACCAGAACAGACTGGCTGGCTTCCCAAAAAACAAATCATGTACGGATCAAATTGCAACGCTACGTTAAGCATCATCATAGAACACAGCATAGAATGCCAGTCAACTGGATCTCTACCTCAACTTCATCACCTTTAAAAAGGCCTTCGATCAAGGCGTCGACCGAGAAGTAATTTGGCAGGCAGCTGCTTCAACACTACGACTTAGTACCACAAACCTTTATCAACCTCATTCAACACCAGCTATATGGTGATCATAATGATGCTATATGCCAAGTGATTCACAACGTAAAGCTCAGTGATGCCTTTGAAATGAAGTGAAGACAGGGGCAGGAGTAAGACAAGACAAGGTTGCCGCCTACTATCACCGATCATCTTCCTGATTGTGGTTGACTGGATGATGCAAGGAACTGCGTGGATTGAGAAGAGGGGCACACGCTCACTGTTTCACCGATGAAAAGACCCTAGAAGAAGATTTGGATTTCACCCATAATGATTTATGTCTACTGTCTTATGTCGCACAAACTCGAATAAGTACAGGCGAAAACTAACAAGTTGGCAGAAGAGACGAGGCAGAGCACGGCAGCCAAGGAAGACGGGACTTCCTTCAGGTGAACGTAGAGAAGATGGAGGTGATGAAGATACCCAACCAAACAACAACAACAGCAAGCATCAATTACCATCAACAGGAGAAACCCATAGCAAATTGTCTCTTTCACCTAACTACCAACTAACTAAAGGTGGCGGCACACGCACACATAAGGATATAAAAGCCACCCAAGATCAGAAAGACAGTAAGACACGCCTCTCAACATCAATCTCAAATCAATGTGGAGATCTACTACACTGCACAACACTGCACTCACAATACACAGTCAACAACATCCCGATTTTTAAACACCACTAATGACAACCAAGTAAGTCAGTACTTCTATATGTGATGCTTAAGAGACTTGGCGCATTACGAAAAGCATCTGCAACAATATGCAGACATATATCATCAACAGCTGCCCCCTACGCTCACTCCATACTGGAGATGGAGATCATCAGGTGGATTGCCAGGAAGAATGAGCAACAAAGAACTCTGGCCTGACAACCGACCAACCAACCAACCAACCGACAACCCATCGCCCAACAAACATGCTAAAGAAGGTAGTGGAGATGGATTTGATTGGGTATACATTGTGAAGACCGATTGGGGACATCACACAGCAGGCCAGCCAGGCCCTCGAGTGAAACCCAAGTGGGAAACGATGAGTTGGGAGTCCGAGGCTAGGGTGACATGGAGGAGATGGTGTGAAGAGGAAATAAAAGCTTACGGACAATCGTGGAGCCAGGTTAGGAGGACTGTAGAGAAGAGAGTGCGATGGGGACGTGCTACTGAAGCCCTTATGTTCCACTAGGAACCCAAGAGACAAATAAATAATAAATAAATATTCTTTGATTGCTCACTACTCACTTGTATCATGAATGGGACATTGAGATAAGACCTACAACTCTCGTAGAAGTCGAGAAGAATCTCAGTAACCTGAGTAGAGGAAGATAAGTGGGCCTTTTTATGCTAACCTCAGTAGATAAGGACCTGTAGTAAGACTAAAATTATTAGCTGAGGCTTGAAAACCGGATATGACGCTAACAGGTTTCAATTACTGATTGCCTACTGATTATTTTCGAGAAAGGGGAGAAATCTCGTTACGATAACCACAGAAGAAATAGTCTGTCTACGTTCCATTATCAGCACTCGATGCCAAACTGGAGGCTAAGGAAAGAACAACAAGCAGATTTCAGACATTGCCACAGGCATATCTTCATGCTACGTCAGACCTTGAAACACAGGCTTACTTACCGACACCCAATACCATCTATATTTCTTGGCCTGAAAGCAACAACCTTCATTCAATGCCGTCACTAAGTAACTCTCTCCCCGCGTCCGACTTGGTTGAACCTATCGGTTACGACTTCTCATTAGAACTTCGGGAATCATTTCTCGAAGCCAGTCACTACTGAACACTAAATTAATTCAATTTTGAAGTTTGTTGGGACCTATTTATTGATTTCAAGCTGTTATTCATCAGAATTAAAAAATATAGACCATTGGATTCCGACCTAGTGGCTCAATAGTAACGTGTTGGTCATAGAACTCGAAGGTCCTGGATTAGATCTTTGGCCGGGTGGACGGGATCATGGGTGCGCACGGTTGAGGAGAAGTCCTATATAGGAACAAAACAGCTGCCTAGTGCTAGCAGGTTTCCAATGTTTCCCCAATTTATATCATTCCATGATGAATACCCACCTGAAACCTATAAATAAATCCCCACAAACCTCAAAATTGGAAACTTTTTTGACCTCAAGTATGCAGATGATATAGTCGTTAACAAACCACCTTCAGAGGCGATTTGAGAATGTTTACATGTGGTTGAATGGGTTGATCAACTCACCAACTACTCCAGAAGTCTAATTAACCTTGGTGGTGATCAGCAACAGAAAAAGTTTGACTAATTTTGCTAACTTAAGCCTTTTTGTGACAACAACAATATAACTAAATGTTCATTAGGGGTTGAGTGCGCTGAGTTTGCTCTAACCTACTCAATAGCCTGGAAACAAAGTCACTGAAAGTGAAGAGCATGAGAAAGCTTCTAGGAAGCATTGGTTGCATCTCTTCATCAGTAAATTAAAGTTTAGGTATAAAGTTTTAGGCAGAAAAGGAAAGTTAGTTAATGAAGAGGCTGTTTATATCTTCATCAACTGAAGTGGATGGGATATATGTCTCATATTACCCAGTCACCATCTTACCTAACACGCAATATTGGTTGAAGTAAACTTTGATTGGAAAAAAATAAATAATAAGGCTACTTAAACAACGAAGTTTGATGTGTGTAGGAAACTGTAGGCTTAATGTTGACGTCTGTGATACAAGTAAAACTATTGTATCAAGTATTCTAAGTGATAAAACTTGAAATCGATTACACGGGCACAGTTTCAGTTAAGTCGTGTATCCCATATTTCATTGTCGTGATTCATCCTCTTCTTATGAATGTTTATACTTCTTGTTTATGTAACTTTAGTCTTTTGTTTTCAACCTTGTTGTACAGATATGAAATATGATTATTGTCTATAGTGTTACAACACAACTTTATTGATGATATTGATTATTAAAACAAACAGTCTGAGCGAAGAAATATTTCTTTTCAATTACTTCCTCATCAATGGCTCTACACAACGCTTAAAAAATGCCATAAGAAGATCATTTAATGCCGCCAAGTTATGCTGTGTTTTCTACAGCCGGCCGATGATGACCACACGAACTAAAGACAGACTCCCTGACTTCTCCTCTTCTATGTGCATTTACCAGTTCAACTGCTCCTGTGGAGCTAGTTACATTGGACGTACAGTTAGGCAAGTTCGTCGTCGAATCACCGAGCATCATCCTTCATGGCTAAGTAAGGGGCAAACCAGATCGATATGAAGCTTGATACTCTGACATCTGATTGACACCGGCCACCGAGTTAACATTCATAATGCCTTTAAAGTTATTTATCACAGTGAGACAGAGTGAGAATTGTTCAATGAAAGGTGTTGTATCAATCTCAAAGTATCAAGAAGGTGATAATTGATCAGGTAATTAAGACAGTTAACTAAAGCAAAGATTAATTATCGTAGAAAGATTTTGCGAACAGGTTCTTACATAATTGATATTTTATATAATGATAACTAAAGAGCAAAAATGAACTGTTACGTAAAACGGTAAATTGTTGACTGTAATTAGAGACAGTAGGAGGAGAGAAGGATGATTAAGTCTGTAATAATAATAATAATAATAATAATAATAATAATAATAATAATAATAATAATAATGGAGCTATTGAAATATTAGTTATAGTGAATTGTGTGGTGGATGAAATGAAGAGTCTTGTTGTAATAAATGAGCTATACAGATGGCCAAGGCAAAGAAAGAGGCTGTACGAATCTCTTCTGAACACACAGACTTGGCTTGTGTAGATGGATTCCTATGGCTTCTGCTGTATGTAAAAGACGAACTCATAGAGGATGGGTGAGGTGAGAAGGAATGTGATAAATAACTTTAAAGGCATTATGAATGTTAACTCGTAACAGTTGGATCGCTAACATTTACTGCATTTATTCGACCTGTAGCAGTTTTCTGTTTATCAATAGAATCTTGAGTTTTTAATACTTCACTGCGTGATACACCAAGATACATAAACAGGTCAATACACCCACTTCTTGAGTTTCGTCCCCTTGCAATATAAACGAAATCTCGTTAAATGTTTGCTCCATCGGGCGAGACTCATCTGTTCAGATGATAGTTTTGACGAAGAGCTTCAAATTATCCAGCATCTACTCAGTAGTAATGGATATCCAGAAACGTTCCTGGCTAAAAATATGAACACATCCAATATGAAAACCAGAATGCCTACAGTCTCCAAGAAACCATTGTTCCTAAGACTACAATTTCGAGGTGACATCATCAGCGAAATTGTGACAGAACGCTTAAGAAATGCCATAAGATCATTTAATGCCGCCAAGTTATGCTGTGTTTTCTACAGCCGGCCGATGATGACCACACAAACTAAAGACAGACTCCCTGACTTCTCCTCTTCTATGTACATTTACCAGTTAGACTGCTCCTGTGGAGCTAGTTACATTGGACGTACAGTTAGGCAAGTCCGTCGTCGAATCACCGAGCATCATCCTTCATGGCTAAGTAAGGGGGAAACCAGACTGACACGAAGCTCAATACTCTCTCATCTGATTGACACCGGCCACCGAGTTAACATTCATAATGCCTTTAAAGTTATTTATCACATTCCTTCTCACCTCACCCATCCTCTACGAGTTCGTCTTTTACATACAGCAGAAGCCATAGGAATCCATCTACACAAGCCAAGTCTGTGTGTTCAGAAGAGATTCGTACAGCCTCTTTCTTTGCCTTGGCCATCTGTATAGCTCATTTATTACAACAAGACTCTTCATTTCATCCACCACACAATTCACTATAACTAATATTTTAATAGCCCCATTATTATTATTATTATTATTATTATTATTATTATTATTATTATTATTATTATTATTATTATTACAGACGTAATCATCTTTCTCTCCCCCTACTGTCTCTAATTACAGTCAACAATTTACCGTTTTACGTAACAGTTCATTTTTGCTCTTTAGTTATCATTATATAAAATATCAATTATGTAAGAACCTGTTCACAAAATCTTTCTACGATAATTAATCTTTGCTTTAGTTAACTGTCTTAATTACCTGATCAATTATCACCTTCTTGATACTTTGAGATTGATACAACACCTTTCATTGAACAATTCTCACTCTGTCTCACTGTGATAAATAACTTTAAAGGCATTATGAATGTTAACTCGGTGGCCGGTGTCAATCAGATGTCAGAGTATCAAGCTTCATATCGATCTGGTTTGCCCCTTACTTAGCCATGAAGGATGATGCTCGGTGATTCGACGACGAACTTGCCTAACTGTACGTCCAATGTAACTAGCTCCACAGGAGCAGTTGAACTGGTAAATGCACATAGAAGAGGAGAAGTCAGGGAGTCTGTCTTTAGTTCGTGTGGTCATCATCGGCCGGCTGTAGAAAACACAGCATAACTTGGCGGCATTAATTACCTGATCAATTATCACCATCTTGATACTTTGAGATGGATAACCTTTCATTGAACAACTCTCACCACTAGATTTGTATGTAATTTTACGGTTATGAAAATGCCATATGTTAGTGTAGAGCCATTGATGAGGAAGTAATTGAAAAGAAATATTTCTTCGCTCACATTGTTTGTTTTACTAAATGTCTAAATGGGAATTTTTTGCATTACTGATGTTGATTATTACTAAATGATATTTATCCAGTTAAATGGTGTATAGAATAATAACAATATCAATTACCTGCAAGCATACTGACAACAGATAAAAGGATTTTTTCAACTGACTGAACTGGACTCCAACGTTCAACTGAACTTTCATAACCCATTGGATCATCACCAGGAGCATGAAGTATAGAGATGCATACACGTCCATCTGGATAGACTATAATAAAACAAGAAAGAGTTTTATATGATGAAAAGTATTCGAGAACACAATGATATCATGTTTGCTAAATCTACATTTCTTTATTTGATAAAACAATTCAATTCATCAGATATCATTCATTGAATATTAACCTGAAAAATCAATAAGTTCCAACATACCTCAAAATTGAATTAATCTAGTCCTCATTGATGATTAGCTTCAAATGGTGATTGATTCCCGAAGTTTTAATGAGAAGTTGTGAACATTATGGTCAACCGACACTATCCTTTACTGGATAACGTCTCAAGCATAAATTATTGTTTATAATCATAGCAAATGTAATCACACAGCTTTGTTTTTAGTGGTAGTAAGATGTTCCACTTCTCTCTCTCTCCCTCTCCCCCCCCCCTCTCTCTATTCCTCTCTACATTTAACTGGATTTGACTGTAGTCCAGTCGCCTTATCCCATCTTATTTTATGGTTGTGGTTAGTCCATGGTGTTAAACTACTGATTTTAGCAATGTTTATCACTCCATACTTGACTACATTCCTATGCTCTGACAACCGGTAAGGCTTATCTCTGAGTGTATCTATGGGTTTGAACAGTAGCTTTAATTCAGCTTTGTAGTGTTTCCTTGATATGTTTCAATTATTTATTTAGATCTTTCGATTCACTAGCTCTATTATCTAAACAACATTTCACTAAACCCACCTTAACTGATATTAGATGAAATGACCAGAAGTTGGTGATATTATTTCAACGACAGTTTGTTCTTCGTTCCACTTCACAAAACCAACATCGTTAACTCTTCGTGTTCATTTCCTACCTCGTAAGTGAATTGGACTGTATCTACTACCCGGTTTGTATATTTGAAGAAACTATCAATACGTTTCGATTTCAATATGGTAAATCGTCAGCACATCTTGATAGCAGGATTAAATATCCTTAAAGCTACAACACATATTAGTAATCTCAATGCTATTCCATCTGTTTGTCAATATATTTGCTTCATAAGGTAAACACCCAACATGATCTACACAATTAACTTCTAAATCTCAACACTTGGTTGACTTTAGTGCCATCTTGATTGGTAATTAATCATTTTTGTATCCAGGTTAGCAGGTTTCAGTCCGAAGGGGCTGACTAATCTCAAATTTGAATAGGTCATAATATCGATGCTAAGTTCATAGGTGTTCCTAGGAGAAAGAGGATTAAATTACTAAGAAAAATTCAATTATGGGTTAAAGATATTTAGTTTATCACGCAGATACTACCTGAATTATAAGATTTGATAGTTAATTAACTGAATATGATTGAAAAAAAATATTCAGTAACCCTTTATCAAGGAGTTCATATGGCAAGAGAGATTGATTAATTCAGTTAACGGGATATGACAAACATCAGTAATGACAGAGAGATGCATTCAGCAACCTTGTTTATATTTATGCAGTAAGTAATAAGCCACACTTGTTGTGTAAAGGCTGATGATACCACCTGACTTCGCAAACCCCCCGTAGATGTAGCGATTTTTAAACTTGTGACATATCAGTTGAGAGTCAATTCCCCAAACTAATACCCTACAGCTCCATTATCAATAAATAAATAAATAAAAAATGATACTCATTTCACAACAGATGGCTATCGTAACTTAGTAATTCTGGTGTTTGAAGCTATGGGTGGGTACCAGGTTCGAGTCTCAGTGGGGGACATTCCATTAATAGCCATCATTAAGCAAAACAGTCTCTACAAAACAACTTGAATGATTCTTCTATACAGAAAAAAAGAAAAAAAGATAACCGATCTCACTTACTATTTGGATGAAACACTTCAGTTAGAAACTGCATTTTAGGCGGAGATAATGGATAATCTGATGGGAAATTCAAACGTACAGCAAAGACACCACCTTCAAATGGTGTACCTTCTGGACCACTATATTTATTATGATAATTGAAGAAAAATAAACATATATGAGACTAAAAATATATAAATCTGAAATTAAAATGATTAATCAGAAAACGAAAATTGCATCAATTCAACTCATTAGATAGGTATTCTCAAAAAAAGCAAAACTACCTAAAGGAATTACTGATATTTCGGTGGAAGAGAATATCTACATTGAAACTTCTTTAGTGGTTTATGCATTCGTTTATTTTCAAAAACAAATGAGAAAATTCAGTTGAGCAGTACGATCACGGATCCATTAGTGAATATGAAGCTGTAGCCTACTGGTTTAACTAATTGACTATCAATTGAATTTAGGGTTTTGTGGGGATTCAGTGATATTTCAAGTTGGTATTCATCATGGACTAATATCACTTGAAGAGACATTGGAAACCAGGGAGCACTAGACAGCTGTTTCGTCCTAGTATGCGACTCTTCAGCAGTGCGCACCTAGGACCACTGGATTACGATCCAATGGCTCAATGGTAATACCCTGGCCATGGAGCCTGAAGGTCCCCGGTTCGATCCCCGGTGGGGTCATCGGTGCACGCTGCTGGAGAATCCCATACTAGGACGAAACAGCCGTCTAATGCTCCCAGGTTTCCAATGTCCCTCCAAATGATGTCAGTCTATGATGAATACCAACTTGAAAAACTGACTTTCGACTAATGGGATCAGGAGTTCAAACCCCGCTCCACCTATTTACCATTATTTGGACATCCAGGTAGTATCACTGACCCTTATACAATAAATGTGGCTCAGTGTCTACTATGGTTGCTGACAGGATTTCTATTACGTGTTTCATTCTTGAGTATTTCGCTAGTATAACACTAACGGTAATCGGGAAACTGCTTCGTCAACGACTCATGATGATGTTGATGAAGATACCCAACCAAACAACAACAACAGCAAGCATCAATTACCATCAACAGGAGAAACCCATAGCAAATTGTCTCTTTCACCTAACTACCAACTAACTAAAGGTGGCGGCACACGCACACATAAGGATATAAAAGCCACCCAAGATCAGAAAGACAGTAAGACACGCCTCTCAACATCAATCTCAAATCAATGTGGAGATCTACTACACTGCACAACACTGCACTCACAATACACCCTCAACAACATCCCGATTTTTAAACACCACTAATGACAGTCAAGTAAGTCAGTACTTCTATATGTGATGCTTAAGAGACTTGGCGCATTACGAAAAGCATCTCCAACAATATGCAGACATATATCATCAACAGCTGCCCCCTACGCTCACTCCATACTGAAGATGGAGACCATCAGGTGGATTGCCAGGAAGAATAAGCAACAACGAACTCTGGCCTGACAACCGACCGACCAACCAGCCAACAACCCATCGCCCAACAAACATGCAGAAGAAAGTGCAGATGGATTGGATGGATTGAGCATACACTGAGAAGACCATTTGGGGACATCACGTGCTAGGACCTCTGTCTAAATGACACAGCTAGAAAACTGACTAGTTAGTGCAAGGACCTAAAAAAGGAATTGAAACACGCAACAGAAGTACTAATAGTTGATAGTTATCCTCTGCAGTTTATTAAGAAATTCGTAGAAAAACATAAAAAACGAAGTCACAACGGTAATACGAGTACGAATAATAACGACAACATGGGTAGAAAGGAGTTCACAGACTCCATTGTGTTACCCTATAAGGAAGGTACATTAGATCCTCAACAAGGTTGGAATTTGGGTGGCATTTAAACCTACAAACTCACTCACAGATAAGCTTTGTCGGTTGGCTTAAGCATGCGTGCGATAGAACCAATTAAGCAAAATAACCTAATCTATCAAATTCCATGCAGTACACATGTCAGACTAGCCCATCGGGGTCAGTTGGAATAGCCGAACATAAGAGTTTAGTTAAGCATAGAAAGACGAACTCGAATAAGATCAGTAATCTGAAAGAAAACTTGGCTATTGCAACGGATACATTAACAACGTACAACCACACAATAGGGTGGGATACAACCACCAATATAACTGGATGGAGAAAGAGAGATTAAGGGATATTTCTTCATTTAACCAACCAACACTCAACACATGTGATAGGAATGATACAACATCTGATACCAGAGATAAGAAAACTTTTACTACCAATAAAAACAAAGAATTTGAGGTAGGTGACAGGACTATAAAAGTTGCTTGTTGAAAATAGTGTGATAGTTTCTGAAGAATTTGAAACAATTAGTCCAATTTTTTATGAATTTGGATAATGTAATTAGAAGACGTAGATTATCTGAAAAATGTATAGCGCTAATACATCACACTTTTCAGATAATCTACGTCTTCTAATTACATTGTACAAATTGATAATTTCTGACCGAAACGTCACTGTGTATCCTAAATAAACACAACTAATATGAAATTAAATTCTACCACAGTGCCCAAGTTTTACACTTATATTAAAGTCTATGCGAAGTATACACAACACACTTTATTATAACCTTATCCATACCAAAAATGTTAACTGAGGCTAGTTGCAAACAGGAATATGAAAGTATAACTCGCGAATACTATCTTCATTATGCTTCAATACATAGTTCTTGAACCTTACCTGGTTAACTAGTTCACTAGTTACTAGCCGGTCCTAAGCCCGGATAAAGAGGGAAGGTTGGGCATACGGCTAGCAACCCTACCCCGTAAAACAAATCCAACCGCTAAAGAGACTTCAAAGCACAAAAAAAATTATTTCTCGCTGGAATCGGAGAGACGAAATGACGCCGGTTGGTGACAGCCTTTGAGAAGCCAATTGGCCGATGTGTCTTTTCTTCTCTCGATGAAAGCGAAAGTAAACGTGGGGACATGGAATGTCCGCTACATGTATGAACCTACCAAGGCTGCCCAGATTGCAAAAGAGATGAGGAGGTATGACATGGAAGTGCTCGGAAACTGCAAAAGCAGATGGAATGTAAGTTATATAGCATTGATTTATTTATCCTTTGGGTTCCTAGTGAACATAGGGCTTCAGTAGCACGTATCCATTCTACTCTCTTCTCTGCAATCTTTCCAACCTGGCTCCACGACAGCCCACAAGCTCTCATTTCTTTCTCGCACGATCTCCTCCATGTCGCCCTAGCCTCGGACGCCCATCTCATCGTTTTCCATCTGAGGTCCACTCGAAGGCCTGGCCTGACGTGTGATGTCCCCAGTCGGCCTTCTTAGTGTATGCCAATTCAATCCATCTCCACTTCCTTCCAGTGCATATTTGTTGAGCGATAGATTCTTGGTTGGTTCGTTGCCAGCCTACCAGCCCGCCTGAGTTTCTTGTTGCTTATTCTTATTATTCTGGCCATCTGAGCTTCAGTAACAAGCGAGCGTAGGCAGCTGTTGATGAATACCAGTAGTTTGTTGGAAATCCCTTCCGTAACACGCCAAGTCTCTGAACCATACAGGGGCACTGACTTGACGTTGGTGTTGAAAATCCGGATCTTGTTCCACATGTTGAGTGCAGATCTCCACACTGGTTTCAGGCCAATGATCGCCTGTCTTGCTTTTCCCATCCTGGCTGCCTCTGACCTCCTCCTCTGTGCCACCTGTAGTTGAAACAGTGCTGCCTAGATAGGTGAAAGAGACTACTTCCTTTAGGTTTCTCCCGTTGATGGTGATTGGAGTTTGTTGTTGTTGTTGGAGTTGTTGGTGCGGTATCTTCATCACCTCTGTCTTCTCTACATTCACTTGAAGTCCCGTCTCCCTTCCCTGCCTCACCTCTTCTGTCAACTTGTTAGTTTTCGCCTGTAGATCTTCAAGTTTGTGCGACATCAGACACAAGTCATCACTGGCGAAATCCAAATCTTCTAAGATCCTCTCATCGGTCCAGCGTATCCCCCTTCTTCTCGCTCCTCACAGTTTGCTGCATGATCCAGTCCACTAGAATCAAAAATACCATGGCTGATAGTAGATAGCTTTGTTTTGATAGCTTTGAGATTGATAAAGGTTTGTGGTATTCCGTAGTGTTGAAGCAGTTTCCAAATTACTTCTCAGTCGACGCTGTCAAAGGCTTTCTCAAAGTTGATGAAGTTGAGGTAGGGAGTTGACTGCCATTCTATACTCTGTTCTATGATGATGTGTAGAGTGGCGTTGCAGTTTGGTTCGCACATGATTTGTACTTCCTGAAGCCTGCCAGCCAGCCTGTTCCGGTGGTAAATTTGAATCCAGTGCATCCTTTAGTCTCTCCACGATGATGCGGCTTAGTATTTTGCTTGCTTCGGGTGGACAGGAGAGTGATTCCGCGCCAGTTCTTGCAAACACTTAGGTCGCCCTTCTTTGGGTGTTTGACAAGGTAACCCTTCTTACAATCGCCAGGTACCTTTCCTTCCTTTCAAACCCTCTACAATAGTGGTGTGAGCGTGTCCGCTGTTATCTCTATGTCTGTTCTCAGTGCTTCTGGCGGGATTCCATCTGGTCCTGCTGCTTCCCCGCATTTCAGTAGCTTTATGGCGTTCACGACTTCCATTTTCGTCGGAGGATTTGTGTTCACTTGCAGTTCTGTGGCTGCAGGTGGTATTTCTGGACGAAGTGCAGGTGGTGGGGTGGTCGATTCAGGAGCTTCTTTAAGTGGTCACCCCATCGTTCCCTTTGGTTCTCTTCTTTGATAATTAAGTTTCCTTCATCATCTTTTATTGGTTCTATCTGTGTTGATCTCTTCCATACTAGATAGTAACCTGGTTATTCGATACAATGTTGTCAGGTCTCTGTCTCTCCTACCAGTCAGCCGGCAGCCTGTTCTGCTTCACTTGCCAGTGTTTCGTAGAAGTGTCTTTTGTCTTTCCGTGCACTCTTCATCACTTCCTTGTCCAGTGTAGTGTTTTACACGTTGTACTCAGTTCCTCTTCTCGTTGTGCATCCTTGCACTGCACTGGTTTATCTTCTGCTTCACCATCACCATCCTCCTCTCCCCGCTCTATCAGCTCCCATGTGTCCATCGAGATCGACTCCTTATGTTCTTTCTTCTTCCTTCCTAATACGGTTATGCAGGTTTCTTTTCACATCTCTTTCAAAGACTTCCAGTGTTCTTCCACACAGGTTTCTTCACGGATGTTCCTTGATATCTCCCATTTTGTCTTGATGGTTGACGTGAAGATTTCCTTTGTAGTTTTGTCCTGCAGTTTCCGAGTGTTGAACTTGAACTGTGATCTATCACCAACCTCCTTGAAGGCTTTCAATTTGATTTGGAAGGTTGCTTGCAGTAGATAGTGGTCTGAGCCTACATCTGCCCCTCTTCTTGACCTTGTGTCAAGTAGGCTGGCTGCGTCTCCACTTTCTTCACATTCAGACGAAGTGGATTTGATTTTTAGTGTTGTGTGTCCTGGTGTCTGGTGAAATCCATGTCACCCGCTTTGTGGATATCTTTGTGCTTGAACACACTGCCTCCAATCACCAAATCGTTGAATGCACAGAATTCTGTAAACAATTCTCCATTCTCGTTCATCACCTCACCGAGCGCTTTTCGACCCATGGTTAGTTAGTTCTCTTCCTGTGCTGTCCACTCCCCGTTTGGCATTTATGTCACCCCACCCATTAGAATTTTGATGTCGCCAACTGAGGTCTTGTTCAGTACTGATTGCAGTTGTCTGTAGAATTCCTCCTTCTTCTCTTCACCTACATTTATAGGTGCGTAGCCCAGCATTGTACGACTGTGACTTTCCTTCCTTTTTAGTTGAATCTTCCTGCTATGATCCTGACCATGGAGGAGATTGGTTCCCATTGCATGAGAGTGAGCCTTCGGTACTCGTGGTTGTCGTCTGGGTGACAATATCGGAGTAGATTGTTGACTCGTTTCCAGTTGACAGTTTGCAAAGTCCACTTCCATTCCACCTGCTTTCGCAGATTCCGAGCACTTCCATGTCATACCTCCTCATCTCTTTTGCAATCTGGGCAGCCTTGGTAGGTTCATACATGTAGCGGACATTCCATGTCCCCACGTTTACTTTCGCTTTCATCGAGAGAAGAAAAGACACATCGGCCAATTGGCTTCTCAAAGGCTGTCACCAACCGGCGTCATTTCGTCTCTCCGATTCCAGCGAGGAATAATTTTTTTTTTGTTTTTTATATTTTTTTTGTGCTTTGAAGTCTCTTTAGCGGTTGGATTTGTTTTACGGGATAGGGTTGCTAGCCGTATGCCCAACCTTCCCTCTTTATCCGGGCTTAGGACCGGCTAGTAACTAGTGAACTAGTTAACCAGGCGATGTTATGGAAAGTAGGTGGACTCTTCAAGCTGTCAACTGGAGAGTCAATAATCTACTCCGGTCACCCATACGACAGCAAGGTTCAAAAGACTGCAGAGAAGAGAGTGCAATGGAGGCGTGCTACTGAAGCCCTGTGTTCCACTGGGAACCCAAGGGAAAAATAATAATAATAATATAGTTCTTGACCACGTTGCAATTAATCTGAACGTATCCATTGAATTTAAGTGAAACTGTTGAAAAATGGTTTAGGGTTGTTCAACTGTCAAGTAAAAACTCCACTGTGCAAAACGGTTGTACATATATTCAATGAACAGAAATTTCAGAGATAAGGTCTAACGTCCTCAAACGACACCTGCTACCTTAACAATGGTGGTCGGATTTGCATCTCACTATGATCCAACGAGCCATGTTGGTGGGAAAATTTATTCCTCGTGGACCAAACATACCAGAAAGCTTCGTTGAACAATGGCAAGACAAAAAGTAGTGTTACCATGACAGCGCCAATAGCTACGTTATGATGTGAGTGTGACAGCAGTGAGATGTTTCCCACAGATGCTTCCCCCCTTATAAGAAAATGTGATTAGAAAAGATCGGTCTGAAAATACCACGCACCCTCATTCTGAGATCTCCCAGTTCCCGTGGTACGGGTTTCCTAGCTGAATGAAAGTCACTTAAATTCAAATCTCAAATGTCCGAAAAGATTGTATATGACCGATCTCAAATAGATGTCCACTGGTTTCTGCAATCATACCAAATTAACCCCTTTTCTCTCTCAGATACCTTACAGAAGAAATGTCCACGATGGGCGTAGTCGGGCAATGTCAGCCAACGTCCTAACTCCATCAGTGTTCAAGTTTCATTTCATTTAACTTCAACAGTGCAAGTTGTCACATTCCAAACGGGAACGTAAGCAACAATAGTCAGATGCCTGAAATTATGCATAGTATATTACAGTGTATTGACGTCATGAGATCTCAGAGAACAAGCGGTTCACTTGATGTTCTACAGGCAGCTCATGATGATAAACAAGCCTGTCCATTACTCTAAAGTGACGACTTTGGTAGGGAGCCTTGATTATAACATGGGTTTTTCATTTCTCAGTCGTTCCGTGCATGTTTGAGAGCTAGGCAATGAACCATAGCTAGTGTATGAGGCTTTACTACTCTACCTATCTGTCCAAATCTCAACAGGCAGAGTGGGATTCGAAGCTGAAAAAGTCACTAATTATACCATTTTAGTCTGTTTATTAGAAATATCACGCAGTGAAACAGTAGCATTTCCTGGATAATAAGGTCAAGAAATCGACAGGGGATCTGATACGCCGGATGAAGCCATTTTTAGGTGAGTCAGAGTAGTTTAATTTAATGCTGAAAACTAATAATCCCAGTAGAATGTATGGTACTATTAAGATTCATAAGCCAGGTTATCCCATCAGGCCTATCGTAGATTTTAGAAACACTCCGACTTGTCTAATATTGTCTAAATATTTAGCAATGGTGTTAGGTCCAATAAGAAATCACTCAAAGTCTCGACTTACCAACTCTTATGACTTAAAGCATAGGTTAGACGACAGTGAAAAAATGGTTAGTTTTGACATAACTAGCCTTAACACAAACATACCAATTGACATGGCTCTGGAGGCAGTTAGAAATGGGCTTAAAGATGACAAAGAACTTACGCAGCGAACTAAGCTGCCGATCGAGAAAATCATACTAGGAGTATGATTGTGCCTAACATCTACAGTTTTTCAAAACAAAATATATAAACAAACTGAAGGTGTTGCCATGGCATCACCAATATCCCCTATCGTCGCAGACATATTTATAAATAGTTGGGAACAGGTAGCCCTTCAAACATTCAGTCCTACTCCAAAGATATGGTTCCGATATGTAGATGATACGTTTACAGTAGTGAAATCGGAACACATCAATAGGTTCTTGGCACATATAAATTCAGTAGTAAATGCAATCCAATTCACCTGTGACTTAGAAAGTGAAGAAGGTGAGCTAGCAGTGTTGGATTGCAAGATTAAACGAACACAAGAAGGAAATCTAAAGACTAGTATCTATAGGAAACCCACCCATTCGAATAGCTACTTAGACTTCGAATCCTCCCACCCCATTTCAGTTAAAGTGGGCCTAGTTAAATGCTTAGGTGATAGAGCGAAAAAGCTTACTAGTAGATCGGAAAATCTGCGACAAGAAATTAGACACATCAAGAATACCCTACATCTCAATAATTACCCACCAAAATTTATAAATAAATTCGTAAGAAATCTAAAGAAAAATATTAGCAGTGGTAGTAGTAGTAATAGTAATACAAATGTTATTAATAATAATCCCAGTACTAGTGGTAATAATGGCGACAGGGTTAAGAGAAAATTCAAAGCCTCTGCTCTGTTACCATAGAAGGAAGATACCTTAGAAGCATTACGAAGAATTCTCAATAAGTCTGGCTGGGATTAAAGTGGCATTCAAGCCAACAAACTCACTTAGAAACAAGCTTTGTAGGTTAAAAGATCCTATTGATGCAATTAAGCAAAATAATCTGGTTTACCAGATTCCTTGCAATGATTGCGAGGTGAAGTACATAGTTCAAAGCAGTCGACCAGGGTTGATTAGAATAACACAGCACAAAAACTTAGCTAAATCAAGATCAGTAGATCCTAATAAGATAAGAAATCTAGAGAAAAACTAGGCTATAGCTCTGCATGCGATGACACACAATCACACAAAAGAGTGGGATAGAGTGACAGTTTTGAAAACTTAGTTGGGTGGAGGGAGGGAGAGATTGATAACCGAATCTTTGTTTATCGAATCAACATCAAATACATGCAATCGAAATGATACTGCACCTGTCCCAGATATATGGAAAATTCTACTACCCTTGTCATCGCAGAGAAGGAGAGAAAACTAGGACTATATAAAGTCTGTCTCGAAGTTGTGGAGTTACCTGATATGAATATGGACAATAAATTATGTCCGAAACGTTATCCAGTAAATGCTACTGTTTCACTGTGTGATATTTCTAATAAACAGACTAAAATGGAATTACACTCGACCACAGTGCCCAAGTTTTACACTTATATTCATTAATTATAAGTTGAATCCATAGACCAATGAGTCACAGGTCCAGTTCATAACCTAGTAAATGAATTTCTATATGGTTAACTGTGGAGCTTTTTGTTTGCCTATCTGTTTCAAGTATTCAACTTACGCAATTAATGCTTCCCATTCGAAAAAATTTCTTTCATCCACTGGTCCAGCAACAATACCTTCTGGTGGATTGATTGTCAATTCTGAAATGAAATAAAGATAGATGGATAAATGTATATGCTCATTGTGAATTTTTAGATAGAATAACGTGAAAATCTCACATAAAATGAATCAATTCGAGTTACAGAATTCCCTAAACTTACAGAGAAAACCAATTAGAGTAATAAATAAAAAAACACTAGAATAAAAGATATAATCATAGAAAAGACTGTTGGTTATATTTTAAGCCGCTTTGAACAACAATTTACCACAAGATAACTCCACAGTCCGGTACACGATTATGCGTTAGCTTGCGAACCATAGTTGATGTTTGAGAACTTATGATAGGATTTGGAATGATCTGTCAGTGAAGGATATCCACTCCCATTTACTTTCATCACCGATGTTCTTATGGAAGTCTCCCTCTCATCATCTGACCACACAGGGATTGATCTGACCGCAGGAGAATTTCTGGTAGACCTAGAATACACAGATGACATAGCCCCTATAGGTGAAGAGGCTGACAAAATGTAGAGTATTTTGGAGACATTGAATGGCAATTTGAGAATGTTTGGGATGCATTTCTTACTACCCAAGTGTAAATTGTTGCTCCAGGACTGTTCTTCAACGCTACCCCAACTAATAGTATGGAGTGAAGTGGTTGAGTGTGTTGAACACTACTTACTTGGCAAGTCGGATCAGCCGTGGTGCGTTGGTCAGTGGTCGACGAAATCTCTGCACCGATCCAAAAGTCTTGGTTGGCTTTTGTCAAGTTACGCCATCTGTGGCGCCACCACGATATCCTATTGTCTATTAAGGGATGAGCGTGCTGATGTAGTCCGCTCTGTCCTACTCTATGAGTGTTAAGCATAGCCATTAAAGGTAGAAGACATGAGCAGGCTTCAGGTGTTTGATCACTGCTGCCTTCGTAGTATGAGCCATGTTTTGTGGTGTCACCATGTGAGTAACTCAGAAGTCAGGTGTAGAGTTTTAAGCAAGATGTGGTTGTGAACCTTTATCGAGTGAGATGACTGGCTGCGACATGTTATGTAGGCCTAACCACCGTCCGCCTCGTCACATAATGTTGACCAAAGTAGCTTCAGGCTGGAGAAAGGCTCAGGGCGGTCAAACTCAAACATCCCACCACTCCCTAAAGTCCTTGACTGTTCATTTGAACTATGTAAGACGATCCAGATTAGCCGGTTGGGGTCCACGGGATAAAAGAAACTGGTGGTTGGAGACTCTAGGTGATGTGGCAGAGAATCGACGTCAGTGGTGCAGAAGTATACGCACATTATCCTCATCTTAACCGCTATGCTTAATCTCGTCATCCCATTTTTCATTCCTTTCTGTTCCTACTTTCTTTTTCTATTTACTTTGGTCGATTTTTTCAATCTTCATCTTCCATTTTATCACCTTGTTACTTGATGTGCTGATATGAGGTGTAGCAACTTGGACCGTAACGCAGTAATGCCTGGTCCTAAGTTAATCTTGATGATGATAGGAATCAACTAGGAATGGCAAGATACGGACTCATGAACACAGGCTAGTAGTCTGATACCCATACTGACGAGTTACAGCTCTATGTGCATGCAACATACACTACCATTGATAAATTAAAACACAAACTTCGCACAGTATGGGCACATAGAAATGCGATACAAAGTAATATAATGACAGTATGAAAAGATAAACTATGTAGAGAGGAGGAAAAAACTTCAAAAACATAAAAAACAAACGAACTATCAAAAAAATAGACTCGTTTAGTACATTCAAAGAAGCCTTAACTACTTGCATCTTACTTTCCAACGGCAAAAGGAACAAAAAAGCTACGACATAGCCACCACCGATTTCGACTTATAGCTATGTCTCAAGCTACTGATTTTCATTATCTATCAGACTCCATATAGGAATTTATGATGCACTAACCAACACACTTATCCTTCATCACATACACTACTTCATACATTGACAAACTCTGTGTCAGTCCAAAGACTAGTGAACAGTATAGAAGCAAATAGGAAAACATTCAAGACATATATCTAAGCCATTAAAACCAATGTTTTAATATGATATAACTCATCGAGAAACGATATTCCCCATGACAGAACATCCGACGTCAGAATCACTTACATGGTGTGTTCAACGGATGCCAGCAGTACTATGGAGAAAAAGAAAATCGGACAAAGAGTTTTCCGATATACCCCAGCTCGAAGGAGCAAAAATAAAGGCCAGAACTGTCACAAAAAACTGATGCGTTGTACGTTCAACCTTTTACAACCAGGCTAACATTTTAATGGTAACAAGAATGATCAACGTTGGTATATGCCACTCTGACTTTTATTATAAAAATGAACATCTCAGCAGTCATACTACCAGCAGCACTCACTTAACCAATGAGAAAAACAAACCTTCTCAGTGCGAAAAGTAGGATCAAGCGAAATAATTGGTCACATCATCCCAATTGATTCAACCTTCAAAGTCATCTTCAGGGTGAAAACAAATTTTCCAAAAATAGGGGCTAGGGTTTTCACCTCTGTACTGCAGAAGTTCTCGTCATATAAATGAAGAAACCGGAATTATGTGTGCAAACGAAACTTGTTCAACTCTTGTTACTACCTTGGACTTAGTAAAAGGCTAAGAAAACATTGATCTCTACCTCCCTTTCCATACTCAAAACTTTGTCACATTTTATCATATATTTTAATGATCCAAACAACTAATTCCAACGGTTCATCTGTAAAGGTGAGCGCAGTCATAAGCTTCTACCAATCTCGTGAAGGCAGCTTGTCAGTACGAAGCATATGCCACACTTACAGACACAGCTACACTAAGGTTTTCACTTCGGGTTTTGTGCTTCCTTCAAGAAACTTAAATACAAGGTGTTTAACTAGTAAAGGAGAATGAAATAGCTGGCAGAAAACAGTTAAATGAAGCAACTGGTATTTTGAAAAGAAAGTTAGTGTCGAAAAATATTTAGAACCAACATCAAAACAAAGCCTTTAATAAAACTAACAAATATCCGTTAAATTTACCTGATTTATTCAATAAGTAGATTTTTATCCGCTATTACATACAACCACCCCATTACAATACAATTTAGGTTACAATAGATCAACATGTTGAATAATTCCTTAAAGCATGGAGTGACATCCTTTGACGATCTTTTAAATCCGACTACCTATCAAAGGAAGAGTATACTGCACTGCAGTTCGTTCTGTTCTGCTATATAGCAGTGAAACATGGCAGTTGGAAGCAGAAGACATGAAGCGATTACAGTGTTTTGGTCATAGATGTCTTTATAGCATTGCTCGCGTTTGGTGGAATCATTGTGTGAGCAATGATGAGGTCAGGTGAAGGTGCTGGGCAAGATAGGTAATTCGAATGACGAGGTTATGATTCTTGGTCCACTGAGATAACTTAGACATGTACTGCGCATACCCAGCCACCCACCACCTACCTCGACCTTCCATGCTGAAGGAAGTTGGATTAGGTTGGAAAAGGGTTCAGGGTGGTCAGACCAAGATGTGGTATCCGCCGACTAAGTCTCTTACTCCTGGTCTGAGCCGTGTGAGGAGACCTAGACTACCTGGTTAGGGACCCTGAGATGAAAGGAATCAGTGGGTGTGATGGCTCTTGGTGACACGGCTGAAAATCGGCCACATGGTGCAGATGTATTCACGCCTTGATATATTATAAAGCTTAAATATTTCCATTAACTGTCATCTCCAGATTGTTTATTTTCCCACACAACTTTGATATCAGTCTTTCCCACCCACTTGTTCTTTGTACTCTACTGCGAAGTGTGACAACTTGAGCCGATGCACCTGTGTACAAGGTTCTACGTTGGTTTTGTCAGTCGGTGTATGGAGTAAACCAGAAAAATAATACGCAGAGATCAGACACGCTAGCCTGGGTGCCACTTAGATTGATAATCCAAGGAGTGTTGAAAAAGCCGCAAAAATATGTAGTATTTCACTAATATATATTAAAATTTATTCTAACTTTCGTGCTACGTGGTTCCTGAATTATCTTAGTCTGAGTCTAGACATGAATGGGACGTACTATTCCCAAACTTCTTGAAATACTGAAATGACATGAGAAATTTTCGATATTAAGCTGGTGTCTTGCATCAAGTTATGATCTAGCACGGTCTTGATGGAATCGTATGACTATGTTACTTTTAAGGGGCTCCTTAAGTGATTCTGAACACCGCAAAGCTTTTCGGCCAGAAATGGTTTCAATTCCGTCATTGATTTAATGCTGTATCAAACCTTTAAAAAATAAGCATATTTCAGCCCATTTTAATGTCAGTAAAGCTTAGAACATTAATCGCGTATTATGTTAGTAGATGTGATCACTTTCCGCTCTCCACCCCTAAACTATAGACCCCACTGCAAAAGCCAAATTTCTGATTATTAAGCAACTTAGTAACCCAGGTTAATTCGAACCTGTAACTCAGCGATGATAAGCAAGTTCAGGTACTAAGAGATGAAGCACACTTACTATGTAAGGGTTAATGATAACCCCTGGTTCCCCATATCTTGGTAAGTGAAGAGGGGGGTGAACTCATGATCCACTGGTTGCATGCATGTCAATTGTCTAAACTAATAAGCCACAGCGCCATCATAAGCTTAGAAAGATCAATGGTGTTTCCCTGATTATTGAATCAGTGGCGCAGATGTATAAACACATTATCCTCATCTTAACGCTATACCAAGTCTCACCATTTTCTTATTCCTCCTTTCTTTTAGCACTTTATATTTCTTTCGACTGAATTTCCTTCTCTTCATCTTCCACTTCACTGCCTCTTGACTTGATACACTGGTATGATCTGCGGCAACTCAGACCGTCACGCAGTAATGCCTGGTCCTATGTTGATTTGGACGGATTATTGAATCTGAAAATAATGTTGGACGCCTAACCTTGGTAACTAATCATTAGATACTAATCTGCAACTCAGGACTCCGAAGCCTTAAGCCATGATTCATGAAACCTGATTTCTTATGCCTACTTGAGACCAATCGTTTGTGCATTACATGGTCAATGAAAAAAAGCAGAATTTACAGGCTTGTCTCCTAGAAGTATGTAATATCTTTTACCTTTGGAATGATCACTTCAAGCAATGCAAAATTTGTTGAACCCCTTAAATGATTGAATTTATATAGATAAACAACACGACATGATTATTCTGCAATCAACTATAGTAAGAACAAACGTCAATGAGGTTTCCCTTACTCGAAATAATGAGTAAAAAAAATTGGTCCCAATTTACTAAAATGATTCTAATTATTGGATATATCGATGATAAATTAGTACCAACCTATACATTTGCATCTACTTGTCAGTAAAGAACAATAACCAGTTTAGAAGAATATAGTCAATACGAATATTTCTACGCCAAAATGGAATTAGTTTGCAAAGGGAGATACGTAGTTTATCCTAAGGACCTGGAAATGATAGGGCAATGGGCATATAAGCAGACATTTTTTGTCAATGATTTCACTAGATGAATGTTAGAATAACAATGTATTGATGTTGGTGAATTCTGCAGTTGGCCTGTAGCAGCTTCAAACCTAGAGGGCATTTAATGCCCGTGTATTTTGAAAGTTCGCCGTGGGGAAATGAGTAATAGGGGCATTCGGCACACTACAGGGTGACCAAAATATTTCATGAAAAATTTGACCTTTACTCCGAATGTTGTAAAAACACTAAAGTTAACTCAGAGTTCTGCATAAATATTTCAAGTGCTTGAGTGAGCCCGAAGTATACTCCAAACGTAAGCTCAAAATCTAGACCTTGCAATCGATCTACGGTCTGTTAATCACAGTTTCACAAAGTCATACAATAACAAAACCCACTATGAGCTGTATGGTCCTGTCACAGCGTTGTTACAGGCTAGCCTGTACTTATAATCATAGTTAACTGACTACAGTTTGTGATGGGGAGTGTAAAGTACCGGATAACAAACAAACACTTGCAGTAAACCATAATAAAGTGCAAAAAGAATACCAATGGATAATTGTAAGCATGAACGCAAGTAGGATGGTACATTGTCACTAAAGTTCAGTATAAAAAAATATGAACGAACGCCCAAGGCCAAATAATCAGATTTTATTTAATTTGGAATTCAAAATAACGTAGATTATTTTAACATACGCTTGTACTCTGCCATGAGTCTTTTCAACGCATTGCCAGCCATCCTCAAGTAACGCAATACAAAAGGAGAGCGCCAACATCCAACATCAATAGTTTCCAATATCTTTCTAGTAACTAGTGTAAAGCAATTGATTTCTTCACCCTCGCTTCTAGATCTTGCGGAACTGTTCCAGGTCTTTGGTAGATTCCAATGCATTATGTCTACCCACTCGACAGCTGTAGCTGTGGTTAGCCTGACGGGCGGTTGGGTGTTGGTTAAATTTGCAGACAGTATACGTTGTTTTCTTCTTCCATTGATTGCGGTGCAGATTAGTTCCTCAAGCGTCGTGCCAGCAGACGACTGTTCATAAAAAAGAGACGAGAAGTATGTGCAGAGAAACCAAGGGGGAAAGTGCGAGGAAGCGGTACGGAAGAAGAAACATCGGTAGATTCATGAGAGAGGGGTGGTGGGGAGAGCTTCTATTAAAGTGTGAGAATGTAAAGTTAGTAGGAAGAGAGAGAGAAAATAAGATTACAGGACGGCTCATGAAAATGGAGATGGCAACTCTATTAATAACCTCGCCTGGTTAACTAGTTTACTAGTTACTAGCCGGTCCTAAGCCCGGGTAAAGAGGGAAGGTTGGGCATACGGCTAGCAACCCTATCCCGTAAAACAAATCTAACCGCTAAAGAAACTTCAAAGCATAAACAAAATATAAAAAATGAAAACAAACTTATTCCCCGCTGGAATCGGAGAGGCGAAATGACGCCAGTTGGTGAAAGCCTTCGGGAAGCCAGTTGGCCGATGTGTCTTTTCTTCTCTCGATGAAAGCGAAAGTAAACGTGGGGACATGGAATGTCCGCACGATGTTTGAACCCAGTAAGGCAGCCCAGATTGCAAAGGAGATGAGAAGGTATCACATCGAAGTGCTTGGGATTTGCGAAAGCAGATGGAATGGGAGTGGACTCTCCAAACTGTCAACTGGAGAATCAATAATCTACTCCGATATTGTCACCCAGACGACAGCCACGAGCACACTGAGTTGTGGAGTGGCTATCATGATGTCCCCAACAGCATCGAAGGCTCTCATGCAGTGGGAACCAATCTCCTCCTGCAGGATCATGACAGCAAGATTCAACTCAAAAGGAAGGAAGGTCACAATCATACAATGTTAGGCACCTACAAATAATGCAGAGCAAGAGAAAAAGGAGGATTTCTACAGACAACTTCAATCAACACTGGACAAGACACTGCCTCAGTTGGCGATATCAAAATTCTAATGGGTGGGGCGACATGAATGCCAAACTGGGAGGGGACAACACAGAAAGAGAACTAACCATGGGTCGAGAGGCGCTAGGTGAAATGAATGAGAATGGAGAATTGTTTGCAGAATTCTGCGCATTCAACGATTCGGTTATTGGAGGCAGTGTGTTCAGGCACAAAGATATCCACAAAGCGACATGGATTTCACCAGGCACCAGGACACACAACACTAAAAATCAAATCGACTTCATCTCAATGTGAAGAAAGTGGAGACGCAGCCAGCCTACTTGACACAAGGTCAAGAAGAGGAGCAGATGTAGGTTCACACCACTCACTATCTAGTGCAAGGAACCTTCCAAATCAAGTTAAAAGCCTTCAAGGAAGCTGGTGATAGACCTCAATTCAAGTACAACACTCGGAACAGAAACTGAAGGATGAAACTACAAAGGAGATCTTCAAGGCAGCCATCAAGACAAAATGGGAGATATCGAGCAACATCCCTGAAGAAACCTGTGTGGAAGAACACTGGAAGTCTTTGAAAGCTATGTGGAAAGAAACCTGCACAACAGTATTAGGAAGGAAGAAGAAAGAAGACAAGGAATGGATCTCGACGGATACCTGGAAGCTGATAGAGGAGAGGAGGATGGTGAAGCAGAAGATAAACCAGTGCAAGGATGCTCAACGACAAGAGGAACTGAGCACAATGTATAAAACACTGGACAAAGAAGTGAAGAAGAGTGCACGCAAAGACAAAAGACACTTCTACGAAACACTGGCAAGTGAGGCAGAACAGGCTGCCGGCTGGCAAGAGAGACCTGACGACATTGTATCAAATAACCAGGTTGCTATCAGGGAAGAGACCAACACAGATGAAACCAATAAAAGATGAAGAAGGAAATTTAATTACAAAAGAAGAGAAACAGAGGAAACGATGGGCCGACCACTTCAAGAAGCTCTTGAATCGACCACCCCACCACCTGCACTTCGTCCAGAAATACCACCTGCAGCCGCTGAACTACAAGTGAACATTAATCCCCCAACGAAAATGGAAGTCCTGAACGCCATAAAGCTACTGAAATGCGGGAAAGCAGCAGGACCAGATGGAATCCGCCAGAAGCACTGAGAACAGACATAGAGACAACAGCGGCCATGCTCACACCACTATTGCAGAAGGTGTGGAAGGAAGAGAAGGTACCTGACGATTGGAAGAAGGGTTACCTTGTCAAACTGCCGAAGAAGGGAGACCTCAGTGCTTGCAAGAACTGGCGAGGAATCACTCTCCTGTCCACCCAAGCAAGCAAAATATTAAGCCGCATCATCCTGGAGAGGCTAAGGAATGCACTGCATTCAAAACTACGACCGGAACAGGCAGGCAGGCTTCAGGAAGTACAAATCATGTGCAGACCAAATTGCAACGCTTCGCATCATCATAGAACAGAGCATAGAATGGCAATCAGCTCTCTACCTCAACTTCATCGACTTTGAGAAAGCCTTTGACAGCGTCGACCGAGAAGTAATTTGGAAACTGCTTCAATACTACGGAGTACCGCAAACCTTTATCCTCCTCATTCAACAACTATATGAAGATGCCACATGCCAAGTAATTCACAATGGGAAGCTCAGTGATGCCTTTGAAGTGAAGACAGGAGTGAAACAAGGTTGCCTACTATCCCCCATGATATTCCTTATTGTGGTGGACTGGATCATGCAGCAAACAGTAGGCAGCGAGAAGAGGGGGATACACTGGACGACGGAAAAGAACCTAGAAGACTTGGATTTCGCCGATGACTTATGACTAATGTCACACAAACTTGAAGATCTGCAGGCAAAAACTAACAAGTTGACAGAAGAGGCAGCTAAGACGGGACTTCAGGTGAATATAGAGAAGACAGAAGTGATGAAGATACCGCACCACCACCATCAACAACAACAACAAACTCCAATCACCGTCAACGGGAGAAACTTAAAGGAAGTAACCTCCTTCACCTATCTAGGAAGCACTGTTTCAACTACAGGCGGGACAGACGAGGATGTCAAAGTCAGAATCGGAAAAGCAAGACAGGCGTTCATTAGCCTGAAACCAGTGTGGAGATCTTCTGCACTGCAATCAGCATGCGGAACAAGATACGGATTTTCAACACCAACGTCAAGTCAGTGCTCTTGTATGGTTCAGAGACTTGGCGCGTCACGAAAGGTATTTCCAATAAACTACAGACATTCATCGACAACTGTTTACGCTCGCTGTTGAAGATAAGATGGCCAGAAAAAATAAGCAACAAGGAACTCTGGGAACGAACCAACCAAGAACCTATCACGCAACAAATATTCAGGAAGAAGTGGAGATGGATTAGCCATGCACTGAGAAGGCCGACGGAGGACATCACGCGTCAGGCCCTCGAGTGGAATCCCCATGGGAAGCGACGAGTTGGACGTCCCAGCTGAGGGTGACATGGAGGAGGTCGTGCGAGCAGGAAATGAGAGCTTCTGGGCTGTCGTGGGACCAGGTTCAAAAGATCTCAGAGAACAGAGGTCACTGGAGGCGTGCTACTGAAGCCCTATGTTCCACTAGGAACCTAAGGGACTAATAATAATAATAATAATAACTCTATTAATAGGAGACGGTAACTGGGGGGGACGTCTGTAGGGAAGCATGAGGTTGAGCCAGGTTCGTAGTGATAGTGGTGTTACCACGTGTTCGATAATGGGTTGGCCGTACTGAGTTAGTAGGTAGTGTCTGCCTGGTCCATATCCCACCTGGATGAGCGCAAGCCGTGCGTCACTGCGTAACTGTCCAACCTCTTCTTGAAGCTGTCAACAGACGGAGCAGTAGCAATCTCGGCAGGCAATGGGTTCCAGTGGCTGCAAACTTGCAGAGGGCAGAAGTGTGAACGCACACGGATTTTTACCCTTTGGGGGGATTCTCCTTGGGCTACCACGAGGATCACCATAGTGGCCGTTCGGTAGGATTCCACTATTTGGATGACTTAGGTTGCTTGGTATTTTGTAGGCCGCTATCAAGTCACCAAGTAACCTACAATAGCTTAGAGGGCGGAATCCTGGATCTTTCAGCCTGTCCTTACAGGAATTTTGCCTCATCCCCACGATACTCTTTGTAGCTCTCCTCTGGACCTTCTCTAGGAGGTTCACGTCTCTTTTCGGATATAGTGTGCAATGGAGTTGTGGACCCCTAAGTGAGGTCGTATGTAGGCCTTGTACAGCTCCAAAAAGAGTTGTGGTGTCAGGGCACCTAGTTGTCTGCGCACGAAGTGCGGTACCGCGTAGGCTCTAGAGGTGTCTCCTGGATAATTGGAGCTAGTGTCCAGCTTGTCAGTTAGTATTAGTCCTAGGCTTTTCTCTGTGGCGGTGTGGGAGAGTTGTGTTCCACAGAAAGAATAGGGTACCTTCTGAGAGTCTGGGGTGCGGAGAAACATGGCTCAGCATTTATCTAGGTTAAATGCAGGTCCATTAATTTCCACCCACTCTGCGAGTAATCTGAGATCACTTTGCAGTGCACTTGATTCTGTTTCTGACGTCACAGCTCTCCATAGCTTAACATCATCAGCGTAGAGTAGAATTGGGGAGCTGAGATTCAGTGGGAGGTCTTTCACAAAAAGAAGGAATAGCAGTGGACCCAGAATCGCCCCTTGTGATACACCAAATGACGATGTCCTCAAAGTCGAGAAAACTCTGTTGGCTTCTGTACAAAATTGTCCGCCGTCTAAATAACAATAATAAATAAATGTTTTATACTCAAACCGAGAGTTTAACATAAGGGAAGCCAGTTTACAGGCATCATCAAATTGATGATGGCAGAGAAATCTCCAGTAGTTGAGCTGTCCTGGATGG